TGACGGTGTGAATGTGTAGTTCTTCTGCTAGACGGCGTTTATCTCGTTCTGAGGCATCGTCGAGCTACAAATTGCAAGTTAGTTTTTTTTTTTCCTTCCTTCTCGTGTTTATTCTGACAACGCATCGATCGTATGAGCGGGGTTAGAATTACCCTCGCACTGCGGAAAAACACGCCTTCTTTCAAGATCCTACGTGAAATTGTTAGCAACTGTGTCTAGAGAGACTTGAATATATGTATCTCGGGACTCCAGACGCGTCTCAACTCACTCTTTGTTACAAAATTGATTAACCGACCGGCCGACATCGCGGAAATTGATGATGTTGTCGAAAGGCCGATCCGGCGAGTCTAGATCCACGCTGTTATGGCGCGACATGGTGAATTAGGGATTAGGGAATATAAAGGAAATATAGACAGGAATCTTGTTTAGAAATGAGAAGGAGGAGCGTGTTTAAACGTGTGGAGAAGTACAAATGGCGGTGGACGCGGACGTCGACGTTGGGCAGACATCGCGTTTTTGGCCGATAGTCGCCTGGACAATGAACGTTTTTGGCTTTTAGGAGTTATATTCATTCAATTGTCATTGGTTATGAGGATTTATTGGTGACTTTGGTGACTTTGTATGTGTTGGTGGTTTGAAGGGGTGACTGTACGGGTATTGGTATATATTCCAAGGTCCTTTTGTATATTTTTAAAACCTCAATGTTGACAGTCTAGCGGTCTGTTACTTGATCTTCTAATACTCAAAGCAAACAAAAAAACAGGGAAGTAGCAATATACAGTGCTGAAACAGGTACCGGAGCTAAACAAAGAACTTAGATCTAGGCCCCGGGAAAATCCAGAACAAGGGAGGATCTCGATTCAATGTGTCATACAACAACACAGTTAACACTTTTATCAACTACACATATTGCTCCCGGTTCTTCCATTGTGGCTGCAGGTATGACCAATCGTGATTGAAGTTGAATCCTGTACGATAAGCCCCATATGCAACCAGATCCACCTGACTCAGTCTCGCCCCCCGGTCCGTCAGCGCCCACAGACTAATCGCCAACGTGTTCTCCCCACGGTTATTGATCACGCCAGGTGGAAAAGGGAACCTAGTCTGGGGACCGATGTGTGACAGGTAATGACCGAACTGGTACCCATTCATGAAGATCTGGACTACTGCGGGGAAATCAGCAGATGCATCGAGCTGCAGACCAATCGGAACGTCCAAATCGGAGTCCAGGTCGAGCTGGAACGTCGTCGTGTAGAACCGGCCTGCTGCACTAGATACGCCGTCCAGCGGACTGTGCGAGGTTGCGGTTTTGGGCGCTTTGTATCCTGGGAGATGCCAACCGAGACGCTCTCCATAGAGACCTCCTTCGTTCATGGGTCCCCGGACGGGATCGATGTTGGCTTCGCCTCCTGCATTGCCTTGGATGCGCCAGGAAGTGAATTCGCCACCAAGAAGCGTCGCGCCTAGTATACCACGCGGGTTTTGTGCTCCGTTCGGCGACACATTTGCCTCGTCGTGGCCTGTGTAATCCATGATAATGGTCAGAACATTGTCCGTCTTGCGCAAGGTAGCGCTGTTGAATAGTAGCTCGGCTGATGTCGCGGCTAGGGTCGGATCACCAATGGCTCCGCCAACATAAATTCCGTTTAACCAGGCGGCCCAACCAGCGGCTGCGCCGTTCTGGGCAGTGAGATTTGCGCCTGTCGCGGTCACGCCATCGAACCGTCCGCGATATATTTTCGTTCCGGCATGGTAGCCATAGTCGCCAGAGTAAAGCACGGGAAGTGTGAGTGGTGCCACAGAGTTGACTGATTTCGTCTTGTTGCAGATGGTCCAGCGAGAATCATCGTAGTCTGGCTTGATCTCCGGAAGGGTATCTTGCGCTTTCCATGATTTCAGAGTTGGCAGCGACACTTTGGCTTGGGCTCCCGGGGCTGATCCGATTAAGCTGCCGTATGGTGTCTTCTTGGTTGAGATCTCTTTGCCATTCCACTTGATTTTGGTCACCTTTGAGTTGCCCGTGTAGACCCTAATAGCAGGTATTAGCGAGTAACTTATTTGAGAGAGCTTCGCGCTTACTCAAGAAATGTCGTGTTTGCGTTATCCCCAACAAGACTGACAGTATTCCCACTAACAGTCGCTGTGCGAACGAGATATGGCCCAAGGGCAATGATCTGCTCGCTGGGAGCCACAATCGGATTGGAAGTAGTCGGTACTGCAAAGAAGTTCCACGCTGTCTCCTTATCTAGAAGGTATACCAGTACGCCGTGCGAGAATTTCAGCACGGTCGTGCCATCCCCTTGAGTGTATGTGTATTTCGTGCCATGATTCGATGCACCAGAGTTCACTTTCGAATTCCCGTAAGTTTGGAAAGTCAGATGGGCTGGTGCGTCTTTGAAGACAAACTCTCCTTTTTGTCCGATATTCAGATAGAAGACAATGACATCTACATCGAGGGTGGCGTAGGTCAAAACCTCGGCGGATGAATAGAGCAAGCTCGAGCCCTCGCCGATCCGGTAGTCAGTGACGATAATTTTGCTCTGACGGCCGGCCAACTCAATATTAGGGATTGTGAGGACCCCTATTGTGTAGACTCCAAGTTAGCGCAATTATTCCTCTCAAACACTGGAGTACGTACCAGCCGAGGTATTGACATTAAGCGAAGTAGTGGTCACAGCACGAGATGAGCTGGTAGAGTGCGCGAGAACATAGAAACCGGCTTGGGTTTCTGGGTTCCGCAAGGCCCACGTATATATACTCGCATCACTAGTGTACCCTGTTCCATTCCCTTCCATTTGCGTTTGTAGAAGACCAGATGACACGCGCGTAAACAAACCGATCAACTTGGTCTGCTTGAGTTTGTCCCGAATCTCACGTGTCTCTCGCATGGGCGCCGAGTAGTCGTATGAAGTATAGACGACCGGAGCAGCACTGTGGCCCCAAGAAGTTGCCCCCATAACCATGTATATATTCTGCAATGTGACTCTGGAGCCGATATTATTCTTATAGTAGACATCGGCGAATTCAGGCGAAAGCTCGGTAGAACATTGATCGTAGAACGTCCCTCCCCAGGGGGAGAACCAACCGCCCTCAAACTCCGGCAGATACTCGGGCTGAGAACTCGAGTAATTCTGGAACCATTGGTAATAAGTGCGGACGAGATTGAACCCAGTATCTGGATTGGTACAGGACAGACCACCAGGATAGGAGTCCAAACCATAGACATTGACGGCACCACCCACATCCTGGTAGTCCGTCGACCAGCTCATAGAGCGCATTCCCTTCTCATTGTGCGTGCTCGGGACAACGATACCAGCCTCATTGAAGGCGGCTTTAACTTGTTCCATGTACTTGACAACAGTGTTATCGGCACTGTGAGTTGTCTCCTGCAACTCATTCTCGTGCTGATTGAGAATGACCGGACCACCACTTGTGATTTGGTTTGCGGCGATGATCTTTCCGATCTTCTGGATCCACGGATACCATCGGTCATAGTAGGTGCGCGCGCTCGTGCGCGTGCTGCCCATTTGCCCATTGGATGCCCACAGTGCGAAACCACCAGCAGAGGTCTCAGCATTGCAGTAAGGTCCCGCGCGCGCAATCACATACAGACCTGCCTGCTCGGCATAATCAAAGACGCGCTGGATGTCGTGGGCACCGTTCTCGAAGTCGAAAGTATCTTCGGACGCGGAGTGGAAACTCCAGAAGAAGTAGACTAGTCTCAATGAGTACCAGTGCAGCCTAGGTTTTGTTAAGCCACTCACTAGAAATCGCATTAAATCCATTTGCGCGTAGCTTCTGAAATACGTCGAGCCAAAGCTCTGGCACGGGGAGTCGCTGGTAGTGGAATTCACCAGAGAACACATATACTCTCTCTCCTTTAACTGAGAGGCTGTATCGATCCCATGTCACATCAGTAGTCTTGCCATTATCTGTCGCAGAGACGAAATGGCTGGATATGAGTCCAAGGAGTATAGGGAGAATCGTGAGAAGACGCATTGTTGGGGGCTGCACAGGTACTCTCCATATTGGAATATGACTTGTTATAATGTGTGTATGCTTCGGTCCTCGCTACAGAAATACCCCGTACTCTGCTGGGATTGGTGGATGTTTTGTTTTGGAGATCGAATGTCGGATTAGGCAATTTTCCATGAAGATGCGGGGGAATGATCGGCTTTTGACTAGGGACAGGTGGTTTTAAATGAATTTTGGACATTGAATACAGATATACAAATATATGTTGTATGTATGGAGTACTTGATTTCCTCTGTCACTTCTTAGCTTTCCCTTTCCGTCTTAGTGCTCAGTCCTTGCCGCTTTTTGCTCACTGAGTACAACTGAGCACGTCCCTGAGTATTACATAAGCTCAAGGACTTGCTCAATAAAATGCACCACGCTAGCATCCAAATGCAGTTGTTCACCAGAACTCTTGACCGTTGTCCCCTCAACGAAAAGCTGCTATGCCACTATTCAACTCGCCGAGTCTTGTATTCCATAATACCGTCTCTATATAGTTGCGGAAAATATCCAACCCTCAGGGACTGAACGCACTTTTGCCCGGGGGTTATGTTACGATCAAGGCTTGTTAGTTCCTTCCTTATGTCGTTAGCTCGTTGGCTCCTTCCTTCTCTATAGGTATCGTTCCTTTCTAAGCCATATGCGAATATACTAGATTTTGCCTGGTTTGCAAGGAGAAGGGTACAAAACCCACAAAGGCCATGATTCCAATTCATTTCCTTTTTTCCCCCTCATGTTCAATATTTTCTAGTTAGAATGCACTCTTTTTCATAAACACCCGGCGCGTAATATTATATATTACACATGCGGTTTAGACCGACACTGTAGAATAGAGGATAATTGAGCTTATGAGATGATATTATCGGCTGTAGTTAGACCCCAGAAGAGATATCGATTGAGTTGACTTCTATGGCCCCTGATACTACTGTTTACTCATAGCCGAGACAAATCTCAGCTGACCGAGAGCTTCCCCATTGAATGCCTCATTTATCACCGCCCAGTGCCGAGAAATCAGTCTCTTGGCAATATTCACGGAACGAGGTCATTTTCAAACCAAGCTATAGAAAGGTCAATCATGTCCCAGAGTGGCAACGAGATCGAATAGGATATAACATACCTTCTCTGGTCTTACAACAGCAGGATCGATACCTTCGTACCCGAACTCATGTGCAAATAATACATTGTGAGCAAATTCGTGACCAAGACCTCCGGGAAGCAACTCGCAGAATTTATCGTAGGAAAGCTCGTCATAGCCACCGTACTTGAAACCTAGGGTTTCGCAAAAGATCCGGAGGTAATCTGACCACGATACATATTCTCCAACAGCAAATAAATTGACATTAGGCTCGGACTCTGCAACTGCCCTGACGCAAGGGCCGAAATCCTTGCGGACATGTCCGAACGGAATGCCCTTGTCACCTGGGCCAATTCCTGTCATTCGCCAGGTGCCATCAACTTCCTATGCAACGAGTCAATACCCTTCAAAATACGCCGGGGAATTGTGAAAAACAAAAGTCCTGGAGGGGCGATTTAATGATTCATACCTTCCTCGGGGTTGTAGGAAGTCCCCACTCCCAAGGGAGCTGGAAATATATGGGCGCCTGAACCTGCGAGAATTTTCCAGCCAGGGCAGGGATGCTCTGTGCGTAGATGGCAGCGTCTGCTTTAGAATCCATGTGATAAAGTTCGGTGAACTTGCTGTTACTGGAATTCTTCGCATGGGCCATTGAGCTGAAGATGTATCGGGATAGGCCAGGAACAGTGGCCGCAGCATCGGCAATATTCTTGCCCTGTTGGAGCTCGACGTCGTGACAATATTCCACAAGTGATTGGCCGGGCTTCTTCTTCTGATGGCTTTCTGGATCTTTGAAGATTGTCCAGAAGTCGGTGACACCTAAAATAATGTCGGCTCCCACAAAGGCTTGGCTCAAGGATGCCACATCATCAAGGTCACCTTTGATCACTTCAACACCTTTGATCTCCCATTTCTTTGCAGTATCAGATGCCGGATTGCGCGTCACACCGCGAATCTTCCAGCCCGGATTCAGAAGGTAAGCGTCGGCGACGGAACTTCCCTTCAGCTTTGGTGTTAGTAACCCCAGGGAATATACGAAGAAATTGTACAGGGAGCGATTCTAACTTACTTGCACACCCGTAATACCGAGGATCACAATAAGTCGCGACATTATGGAAGAAGGATGTTCGGTAATAATAAGATAATGACCACTCAACCGAAAATGTGATTGGATGTCTTGGGCTCCAATAATTGAATCTTCGATATCCTCTCAACCCTGGAACCTGGCAAGACCTCGGTATTTATATCTTGGACTTCCAAAAAAACGCATCATGAGACATGGCCAAGCTGTACTCCTCGTTTCCTGATTGATAATCTGCATTTCCGTCGCCGGTCGCTTGATAATACAGGAATGACGCAAGCAATTATCCAAGGAATCTCGTGAATGTCGATACTGCAGGGCATAATCGTCTGATTTGCGATCGATCAGAGAAGCCAGAGAGAGACCCACTTAATTTGACTTTCGCCGTTGAACTTAAAATCGCGCTAGGCTGTGGGGTAACAGGGACCGACATCCCTATCCGGTTAGGCTGGACTACTCACTGCTTTCCCAATCGGGAACATAGTCATACATTGCTTGTATCCCTATCAACGATTGCCACAGCGTTCTCTTTGTCTGGTCAGGAGTAAGAGTCTGGCCCGTTCCATGGATTTGGGCAATGTCGGACTTCGGGGCTTGAATTAATAATATCGTATTCGGCTGATGAGTGTTGTATGTCTGCATCCTATTTAAAAGCAAAGCTATTCGCTACATCACCGTACCATCTTTCCTCACTCTTCCACATTTCACTTTCATTGGTTTCATTTTACATCTTCCCTCCAAAGCTCTGACTTGCGAGATGGCCCTTAACAAAGAATCGTCCTCTACCTATAAGCAGTTTCTTGAAACTGCGCCGAAGGAAGTGTCTTCCATCATCACGGACGCGGTCAGAGACTTTCAAAACAGTTACGACCCTGCTAGAGCGATCCAGCCGGGGGACGCTTTTCCACAATTTCAGTTGAGCGATGCGACCGGTAACAGAGTGTCGTTGAATGATCTCCTTGTTAAAGGACCCATCCTGATATCTTTTTATCGGGGTGAATGGTGTCCCTTCTGCAACCTCGAGCTGCGTGCGCTTCAAAGCCATATGGACGAGTTTCACCAGAAAGGCGTGACATTGGTAGCTGTGTCTCCGGAGCTACCTGATCAATCTCTGACCACATCTGAGAAACTGTTGTTGAAGTTTCCAGTGCTTTCGGACGTTGGCAATCAGCTGGCGAAGCAGCTTGGCCTGTTGTTCCCTCAGCCCGAATCTATGCGGACTGTTTTCGACAAATTTGGCGTGGATTGGAACCAGCGGTACGGCAATGACAACCTGGAGCTTCCGGTTCCGGCAACTTTCCTGGTTGATAAGAAGGGAATTGTGCGCAATTCCTTTGTGAATCCTGAGTACCAACACCGATTGGAGCCCGAGACTGCTATTGAGTGGATTGACCGGCTTTGATGTTGGCTTTTGCTGAGCGCTATCTTCACACTCGCTTTGGGGTCTGCTGCGGCTGGAATGTACGCGCGGGGGAGGGGGCTGGTTGATTGGGTTTCATTTCGTTAGTTTGGCTTCGAGGGATCTCGACACCAAATCCCAAGCAAATCGGCGAGTGTTGAGTCATGATGCTTTTCTCCAACCCGAAGAAACCTATGCCGTGGCTCGTGGTCGATCTTTTCTAGTCTCGCTTCCTCTACTCTAGAATAAACACGTTCGTTGACTTGCACTTTTAGTATGCTGCTCCTGTAGCTCTGCTTGAACCATAAATTTCCGTGCTAAATGTGCTTTTGACGTATTATTTAATCCAGTGCTCTATATTTTGAATTCTTGGCATCTCGTATCAGTGAATACGAAACTATTGATGAGCAGGCTACTGAGATCGCGCATGGATTACAAAGCAGCCCACACCGTACTTTGCTGATTAATGCCCTGGTCGTCGTGGAACATCAGGTGAGCCACACGACGTTGAGAAGACATTAGGACAACCTAATTGATCCTAACACTGAAGAAAACAATGGATAGTGTAGACTGGAAGTCTAGGGGTGCTGAGCCACCGACACGGGGTGCGCAGATCCTCCCTGCCCGTCCCTCACACGGATCACGAATGTTGGCAAGGAAGCTTACGGGTGTCCAACCGTCGGCAACTCAAGACCTCAGGTTCATAAACCTATCCCATCCAGATGACTTACACCGACAAAAAGAGGTAAGAACGGAGATCCGTCGCCATGTTATGAAGGATATAGGCCAACGACGGAGGCGCCCACAACCCAATGCAACCTCTTCGCAAGCCACCCGAACATTTTCTTCGGAGTCAAATGGTTACAAAATCTCTCAGCTTCGTGGCGCAGACATAAACAGCGTTTCACCCAGCCAAAACCTAGCTATGCTCGCTCACTTCCCTGTGGAGGCTGATGTGCGCGCTCTCGAACTGATGCACTCTGGTAAGAGTTCCAAGCTTTCCGTTGGCCTCTAGCTCCTCTCATCTATTAATGCTTGCTCTATATTAGTCGTCACGGGCCCTTATCAGCCATTCAGGGATGTTTGGATTGAGGTAGCCCTATGTGACCCCGGGGCATTCCATGTGACTCTCGGCAATGCTGCTGATTTTCTAAATAAGATGAATGGCAATAAAAGTGTGAAAAGTCCGGAGGCTTTGAGTCACTTTGAAATTTCAACAAGGAAACTAAGACACCGTCTTAATAACTTCACGGAGAGTATTAGTGAAGGGGCTATTGCCAACATATTGGCCCATGTCTGTCTCACTGTATGTGCTACATTCCTGAATTTGAGCTCTTGAATAACCCCTTTTCCATAGATGAGGCACTGTGACTGGGATAGCTGGAGTATTCACATGGATGGTTTGAGTCTCATAGCGAAACTACGTGGCGGGTTTGCTGACCTCGGGCATCGCATGTCACTTCTCATACTGCTGTGAGTACTCCGTACCTTTTTCGTTTCCTAGACAAAACTTCTGACTGCTCCTTGCAAAGGTATGATCTAGGTGGTGCCATGGTCTTTGATTCCTATCCGCGATTTGGTCTCCCAGCAGAGTTTGTTGGCATATCCAATAGATCTTCGAGAGGACTTGCCCCTAGGCTACAAGCTTTACTTGTCCAACCCATTTCGCCCACATTTTTCCCAGCGGGCCAAGCATTAATAATGGTTTCCTCAATTGCGGATGTGATAAATACCACTAGTCACTCCGCATCATTCTGGAAAAGGGATATCGATGCAATCCGCCTGATCGGTCCCTGTATTCACTTTTTGCTCTCAATGCCAAGATTCCCCAGCGATTTCGAGGCCATGGCTGATCCCGAAGACCTTATCGCGAGAGAATTGGTTCGACTTACATGTCTTCTGCTTATGTCGAAATTGAAGGAACAATTCGCGTTCCCTCCGAGTGAGCTAGTTTCACTACATGCTAGGCTTGCCGAGTTCGTGCCTCCGAATGTAAAGACGCTCGGAAAAAAGTACTTTGAGCTGAAAATTTGGGCCCTTGTCACCATTGCTTTATTGCGATACCGTGACGGAAGAGAGGTATACATACAGGAGATGAAAAGAGAAATGTCTGCAATGGAAAAAGCGACACAATACGAAATTACTGGGATTGCCAGAGATATCGTCTGGATTGACATCTTGATGTCACCATTTTCAGAGGAGCTCGCAGCGGACATGAAACTACACGTCACTCCTCAAGGAACCTGTTGAGGTCATTGACGCCAAATCTAATAAGAAATATCAACCCACGGGTTTCAGCAGAATGAAAATGTAAAATTGCGCGCATAGCTTTATCTGAAACCAAGACAAGTCGTGGATGTCACAACTATTGCGGGATCGAGTAGCTGTGTCAGTTTCTCAGGATATCAGAGTAATTGAAAATAGGGGTTGGAAGTGAAGAAAGTAGCCACATGATACAAGTGTCCCAATATTTGTACGAGCCGTGTGCGAGCAACACTTTGAGAGTGTATACTTAGATTAATCTTCGTCCTCGACATCGGCAGGACCCGATAGGAGACGTTACGGGGACTGTAGATGGAAAAGGCGCGGCCGGTGAACAGACGGGATCTGGCTCAGAATTGAATGACTAGCCTGCTCGATGACCAGTGCAGTTGCGGCGCTGGCTCACAGACTCCAAAACACGTCCTGATGCAATGCCCGCATTACACCAAGCTTCGCATGCGATTGTGAGGGCAAATCAGCTAGATCGAGGGACCGGCATGATAGTGTCTCACCCGCAGGCCACCCGCTACGTGGAGAGAGGGGGGAGTACACCCCAAGACGATCATTGTGAGATCTCATTTGTATTGGTTATTTGGATCTGTATTTACATAGGCTGGCGGTGATTTCCATTTCGGCAATGTTGTTACGTGAGAAATCAGGCATCTACCGGCACTTGATTAATGAAACCTTGAACGACAGTGATATTTCAAGCACAGAACTTAGAAAACTAATCAACAGGCCCCAACCTCTTCCATTCACAACCTTCTCGCATACCGGTTTACTTCTCAAAATATGGCTAAACCTTGTGACCGCTGACCAGCGCCCAACTTATCCAGCTCAAAATGCTGGATCTGCCGGCCCTCGAAAGAGTCAACAACGGTGATTGCAGCGACTGTGGTGCCATTTCCTGGGGAAAGTGCGTATACATAATGGCCGATAGCTCTGACATCGGTGAGACCAGGGTCGCCATTTCTCAAGTCCAGGATCGTTAAGATCTTCGAGCCATCATTGCGGACTTCAACCAGTCTGTTAGATGCTGCATCGGTTAAAAATACACTCTCTCGCAACGGAGAGTAGGTAGCCCAACACGTGGCTTTCTGGTTTTCGATGGTGATCTTGTGCTTGAGAGAGACTTGGTCGGTGACGTCATCTAGGCTAAGAACAGTGGCTCCGAAAGATGCGTCCGTGATGAATAGATCAGATGTGCCGGGAATTTCAACACCACCAAATAGCACTGCCGTATTGGGCGGAGAGCTTCGAATATCATGACTCTCGAAGACCGACGAACACGAATCTTTGAATGGCAGGACAGATACAAAGCCTGCTTTGCCAGCAGATGGGTCCCCCTTCACCGTGGTGATTAGACGTGTATCGTTTGCGGCAAAGAAGACCTGTGCGACTGTATTTGTTGGCCCAACAGGAGGTGTGGTTTGGTGGAGTTCGAAATCAATCACTTGATCCATCTGCTGCAGGCCCTCTGGCGTGAATTCAGCGCAGGAAACGCCGGATTTGGCCCCAGTGTATCCCACGCAAGCCGTTTTTCGCTTGATTGAAGCTGTAACAGTTACGGGAAATTCACCAGGAATTTTCGCTGGCTTCCCAACTCGTGATATTTTTGTTGGATCAAATTTGTTGATTCTGAACATGCTCAAGGTATTTGATCCTGCGTTCACCACGAAGACAAGCTGCAAGTTCGAGTTAGCCTGAGAGTGCACGGAAGAGGTCACAAGGAAACTCACATCGTCGATGACAAAGACAGAGCCTTGCGACGAAAGAGCATCGGGGCCAGCAGGTGCATGGGTCATCCCGTTGATACCATCACCGCCCATGCCGCCTGTCAAGGTAGTAATGCCACCGTGGAGCTTGCCATCATTTCCTATTGCGATAGAAATTACAGCGTTTTGTTGTTCATTCGACTGGAGGTAGAGTGCTTTCCCACCGAGGCCACTTGGACATACGATCACACTGGCATTAATGAGACTCGCAAGGAGCACCACTCCCAGGTGAATTGGAATAGAAAAATGCATTCTGGTATAACAAGCAGACCACTAGCAGTGAAGAGGGGAAAGAAAGATGAAGTTGAGCTGAGATGTTTTTTTTTTTTTGAGAATCATTACTGCTCCCAAGGCCTTTAAGTATCATTTTCTTGAAATATCAATAACTAAACCCGCGTGAAAAGATGTTATGAATGTACCGATTCAGGAAACCATGTTTAAGTCAACAATTCTACGCTAGCGGTTCCACACGCCGTCGTTTTGTATTTCAAATCATTCGAGATAGTCTGGAAAAGCAGGAAGGTTTGAATCATCACTCTATGCCCATGTGTGGGAGTCTCGTATTGAGTAATCGAAACATTTTAGAGATAAGTAGTTCGATATAGACTTTGGCTTAGCCCCGAATAGGCGAAAGTGATTCAGTCAACAATCCGCTTACATTTATGGGTCTCACGGAAAAGCCGATCTTCCGATAAGTCCGCTGATGATCTCTGAATTCCAAGTTTGGAACTTCATTGTAATTTCTAATCTAAGGTCATCTATCTCCTCTGCACCGATCTGACGGACTTGACGTGATACCAAGCTCCACATAGACCCAACATGAAAAAAGCATTTACTTTCCTTCCTGGTCTTCGACCCGATAGACAAGATATTACATCAGGTAAGCAAGCCCACCATGCCTTCCTGGATATTGCGAGGCTTACCATCGCAGGTGATCCCAGCTCAGCCCTCAAAAGGAGGAGAGAGCAGCTCCGCAAGGCTCAGCGGTAGGAATACATCGGATTGTCCTTGACAATAGCAAGCCAAAGCTGATGTGCTAAATAGCACACATCGACAGCGCAAGGATCAATATTTCAAGACCCTCGAAAGTCAACTCTTCCGTTTACGCGCCAGTGAAGTCAGCTTGACTCTTCAAGTTCAAGAACTTCGGAATCAGGTCGAAGCACTCCGGCTGTCTCCCTTCTGTGTACCGCATGATAGATCCACGATATCTGAAAGCGATGAGCATGCTACTGTCTTAGATTCTTGGGATACCGAATCGAGAACGCATGTGTCCAGCCAGATTACTAGCATCGAGAATTCGTCCACTCGATCGTCAAACCCCCATAATCAAGAAACTGGCTTTATTGACGCTCATCAACTGGCTCCTTTTCTCGGCCCAGCAAACCCTTTGAACTCTTCTCCCGTGACCCATGACAAATCACGAGGCCTAGACATGATCGGTGCAGGCATGGAGTTTGTCCTAGCGTACGTATCACTTCCGACACAGTCTATCACTTTGTGTTCTGTTTAGCTCTAAAACCTCCTTCATTAGGCTTGAGCGTCCTTGCCTCCCACATTTGGAATCACACATAGATCAGCCAAATGGCCATTCTCTCCTTGCGTCCTCAGTTCTTATTGATCCACACAACCACAACCACCAATGCATCCCGCCATCACTGGGAAACAATGTTTCCTTGTCCCAAAATTCAGCCGTCATATTTGCTAGGCTTTTAGCCTTATCGGAAGAGCTTGTTTTTGAGGACGAACTTAGCCCGACTCAAGCTTGGTGCTATATTCTCCAAAAATCGTGGGCGCATAAACTCGAGGAAAGTAAGCTGAAAGAGTTGAAAGCATCACTATTGAAATTAGTTAAATGTTACGGGTATGTCCCTTCTATGACAGTGGGCGAGTGTCATTTATTGACAAAAAGTTGATGTGATTATATAGTTTCGGTGCTGTGATGAGAAGAGACGCTTTTGAGGCTATCCTATTTCAAGTTGCCTCGGATCTGAACTGAGATTGATAGATTTGCCAGCGACTCTTATGACCCGGTCCTGCAGCAAGGCTTCGCACAGCAATAGTGCGGTTGCGAGTCGATACTTGAGGATCATCAAGTGGTGCTCAGATGGCCAGATTCGGTCCTGTCGGCACATATAATGAGTGTACGCAAAAGAAGAATCAGGATCAGACATCGATACGGACCGAGGCATGCAATTGCGCTCACTACGTCAGTATCAAAGAAGATAAGAAAACGCGTTGATAAGCTTTCTACGCCAACTCAATCTTGTGTCTTCTTTCGTTTGGGCTTATAGCAGTTTCGTTGAAATACTAGTATACCTTGATCTAATTAAATATATTCCTCACATTGGCCGTCTCTAGATTGGTATTGAGATCCCAAAACCCTGTCATGTGATCATGTACGGTTCATTCCTTCTCGGTAGAAGTCGTTCCTTCCTGAGTCGTAAGCGAGTATACGAGATTCGCCTAGTTTGTAAGGAGAGAGGGTATAAAACCTACAATGGCTCTGATTCCTATTCCTTTCCCCTTATATTGAATATCCTCGTTAGAAATATACTCTTTCCCTTAAAGACCTAGCGCGTAATATAATATTAAATATTAACCCAAACCTTTAAAAACTGTACGATTGTACGGACCGTTATTACGATTGGTTCTAGTCTAGCCTCCCCCTATGAACGGAACCGACTAATTACGATAGTTAGACCTCGACAAAACCTAGCGATTGGTAAGGGTAAGTAGCCTATAATAGTACCGGATCGATATAAAGAAGAACTAATTGGTCCTAAGACCCCAACCCCTACTACTATATAGCAATGCCACTTCAGATACTACATAACTTACTTGAGCCAAAGGTTCATGGTTTCTCGGTATAGTTCGTTGGTTTTGGGGAGCCTTTTATATTTCTCCTAAATTGAGTCGCCCTGACATCTACTCAGTGAGCCTTGTATGTTCTCCAATGAAGAAACAGCAAAGCTTCTACTTGATCATGGAGCAGATATCACTGCCCGGGCAATGTGAATGCAAGAACAGTCACGCATAGCACGTCTCTGCATTTGGAAGTAGACCAAGACGCAGCGAACCCAGTGATTGAATTCTTTTTTGGATATAGGGCAGATTGGAAAAGTTCAAATGAAGAGAACGGACTTGATACACCGTTGAAAACAATGGCAAGTCGCCTTAGTGACATGTCGACCGGTTTGTATATTTCAGAGACATCGTTAATTAGATCGATTATATACCAAGCATCGAAAATTATTAGCAAAGTAAAACAATCCGAACCTAATATCCTCCAGAAGCACCGATTTCAAATTCCACAACACCAATAATCATCCCAAGATCCAAAAATAATCAAATCGTACATCAAGTCAAACGTTTCAAATAGAAATACACATCAACATTCAATATGAAGATCACAGATTTTCGGAGAATCTCGATTCTCTTCTCCCGTTCAGCGTGTCGCCAATACTAGGTGGCACAGGAAGACTCTGCCCAATAGTACTATCCTGCAGACTCTGAAGATCACCATTCCCGACACCCTTAGACGCAGATTGAACTCCCGAATCACGACGGGAGTCACCCTCGTTCGACTCATCGGGGCTACCGGAGACGGCCTTGCGTAATGTCCTGCTCAGACGGTTCCTCTTCCTGCCATTGCGATTTTGCTTGGTAAACTTTGGCAAAGGATCAGCACTATGAATCTTGGCCACGTCAATGTCGTTGCTGTAGTAGCTCGAAGATCTGTTGTGCGTCGGGACAGGTTCAATCACACCAGGGGGATGTGAGCCAAGCGCTACGCTGCGGGGCTCGTCACGGCCGGTCAGAGTGGCGCCGCCTTGAAAGGCAGGTTCGCTGTCTGTGTTAAAGTCCGGACCTGGCTGATGAGGGTAGATGGGGACTGGGCCACTGGAGCGGCGAACGAGACGGTCGCGGAACCAGTTCTTGAGCTTCGTGTCGGCGCGCGGGCTTGTAACTGGTGGCGTGAAGTAGTGCACAATCGTTGGGCCTGAGGCGGCTGCATCTCGCTGCTCAATCTGGGCGGGCTCGGTCTGGCTTCGTAACGGCCGCCGTGGGATTGCTGCGGGCACGTCACTCTCGTCGGTCTTTGAAGGTTCAGTCTCTGGGACCGAGGAGTCAGCTGCAAGAACAGTTGTAGGACCGGCTATTTCAGTCTCAACAGAAGCTTCGTCAGGGATGACGCTCGAAACATTGTCGTCTGTCGCAACATTGTCCTGTGTCTCAAAATTGCGTTCTGTTGCAACACTGCCTTCTGTCTCAGTATTGCCTTCTGTCCCAACATTGCCCCCTGTCTCAGTAGAAGCGTGCTCGGGGGTGATGTCTGTCGCGACATTGTCGTCCACTGCTGTAGCCGGAGCCGGCTCTACTACAGCTTCCTGGGTAACAGGCGAGACAGCTTCGGCCTCTTCGGTCTCGGATTTCTCAACCCGAGCTCGTTTGCCCTTCTTCCTCCATAGGAAGAATTTGGGAATCTTGCTCTCGAATTTATCGTGCTTGCTTGCACCTGATTTATTGGTCAGAACATATCAAGAAAAAATGACAGGGTAACTGACCTTTTTCTTGCTTCTCCAACTCTTTCACCTCAGCTTCGCGTTGACGCTCCAAATCAGCATGTCGCTGCTCCTCCTCAGCGTCTAAACGGGCTTCGATATCATGGGCTCTCCGTAGTTCGGCATTCTCGGTAATCTCATCGAAAGCAGGCTGAAGGCGAGCCCGAGCTACAGCATCGACGTCGGCCATGTCCATATACCTTTGGCCGCCGATGTTCACTCGATTGTCTTGGGTGGTAGCGGCTTCAAAATCCTCTGCCTCCTGTCGTACGCGCTCCTGGGCAACTTCATCCCAACCCCTCTGGACGGAAGGCGGAGCGCGACCGGTGTCCGCATAAACCTGCGCCTCCATGTCCTGGAGGGTTTGCTCCACGTTGCGGCGAGCAGCCTGCATAAGCAACTCACGATCCTTGTTCTTCTGCACATCTACTTGGCCCAGCTTGGTCCGCAGGCTAGTCATCTGGTTCCGGATTTGCCGCGACTGCTCTACATCGAGCTGAGAGGCATCCACATCGCTGGAAGTTCTCTTGCGGCGGGTGGTCAAGCGCGACCGTTGCGGTTGCGGTGCGGTGCCATAATATTGTTGGTATTCTGCATGCTCATCCTGCATAAGAGCAAGCTTCTCGGAAGCTCGCTTTTGCGCTGCTTCTTGTAGTGCGATCGCCCGCCGGATAGCATCTCCATCTACGGTGGATACGGTCTTGCGGTAGCCCAATTGACTTTGTCCTCTTTGGGCTGCTAGGATGGCAGCGGATCTGCCGGGTTGTTTCTTTGTACTGGTGACTCTGTACATGTCCATGTCCCTTGCCATTGAGATGGCAGCAGCGCGTTGCGAGTTCTTGTAGTTTTGTTCCTCAATTTCGCTTTGTATAGGCGGCGATGAAGTATATAGCTTCGGGTTAGTGCTAGCGGCATGCTGTATCCTGCTTGCTTCTATGGCATGGTCTAAGTGGTTAAGGGGGGGCTCCACTTCCACGCGAGCATTTTGCGACGCGCTAGCAGCTGAACGGCTGTATGGTATTTCGGAGGCAACCCCTGGATCACTGGGTGCCGAGTCGGCTCTCTTACGCGAGAGCGTGTAAGCGCCCGACGCAGCCTGGAGCGCCTTGTCCTTCGGGTTACCACCGACGGCTGTGTAGTGGAAACGATCGGTCGTTGAGCTGTCACGCCTATGGGCAGTGGACGTAGGGGCCTGGCTCACGGAAGCCCTTTGTTCACGAACAGCGAGCATTGCAGCTCCCAGTCCCTCTGCACTGTGCTGAGAGGTGGGTTGGGGTTGCTGGGGCGGAGCATAGTCCTTCACGCATAATGCGGCTTTCTCGGCGGCAGGCTGTCGTGCTGGGGGCCGCCATACTTCGACAGTTTTGCGATTCGCATGTGCGAGAGCGGAAGCAGCGGAGGCGTGGCTGAGGTTTGGAGTACCACCGACCGCGCGTGGGTCTACCGCAAATAACATTGTCAGCTTGTGTGTATTTCGCTTATCGAGGGATCATACTCACTGAAGTTCTGGGTATTAATTGGGGTCGGGGCGCGGAGAGATGCCCTACGTTCAGGGTGCGTCACATATAAGGCAGCAGTCGCGGCTAATCTCACGTGAGGTTAGCGATCCGACGGATATCCTGGGATGCACGATCATCTTACCATCATCTGCCAGCCGGGACTGGCGAGTCACTTGCACAGTTGCCATAATTCAGGAACTGCAAATTCCAATAAACCAAAGTCATGAAAAAGAAAAAGAGGACAGCAGAGAACAAAACTATAAGGTGAGGTGGATATGGAATGGAAGTCCGGAAAGCTTCTTTCATCCCCGTGACGTCGATTGGGAAGCCATTGCATCATCGCTTTGGAGGTTTTGGGATTTTTTTATGGAGAAGATCGATCTGTCCCGGAGCTACCCTACTCCAAGCTCCATAGGGGCTAGTGAAAGATCTAAGTGGAGTGAAGATTCCGCATTCGAACAAGCGGAGGCCCATTTTTCGGTGGTGACGCGAGGACTCGGAGTTCTGATTTAGTTCTGAATGAACCCTGATCTACATCGATCTACGTCGATCCTTCATATTTCATTCGAATACTACATGTACCTATGTACCTATATGTAGGTACGAAGTACGGTGATGTACATCGAAGTTAACTAGTCGTGAGCACCTTAATAATAAGGCAGGGATCGCCAAGGATTTCATTATGACCGATTAACGAGAATCAAAAGGTCATAAAGTCCCCATAAATAATATCCATGTAGTATTCCAACGTATTGTACGAGGAGTCCAATATATCATGACCCAAAGTGTCATGCTTCCAATGTTACTTCCAATCACCGTCATCTCACTCTTGGACACAAGAACTTCCCATTCGCCTGCACCTTACACCACACCAGCCCTGTGATATTTAGCCAGTCGCGAATCGATACTATTTAAATTTGCAGAAAGTAGAGCACTATTGTCACAGCGATTTCCCTGAAATGGTTCACTCAGATACTCGACATAGCTTGATAGTCAACAGTTGAACAGAGAAGAACAGGTCCCTCGCCTCGACCGGTGGGTTTCAATATCATGCCGAGGCCAATTGCCCAGCCATCCCTTCCTGTCTCTTGAATGAGCTCCTCCGCCAAGTCTAGTCTCCGTGTGTAAGAGGTCGACTTTCCAACCACCCTAAGCATACGCCCATACATTCGGAAACCCTTTGATAATCCCGTACATAATTCCAATAGCCCCGCCGATACAAGCATCAGACAAAGGAGACACAGGCTACCCGTTATGGATGAATTTCCCGATATGACAGCGGACCAATATACCATGAGTGTCGAGAAGGTGATGAGTAGCTCGTCAAGCAAAGTTTTGTCTCGGAGCCATTGCCCGGAAGTAACGGCCTTCAAGTCATCGACTGTGCCCCGAAGACGAATCCATCGATCTTGAGTGAGTAGAATGAGAAGATCACCGTTCGCCCCGGGCTCTGTCTTGCCTTTCCAGCCAATGTGACTCCGCCTTTTGATAGACCAGGTGTTGCAGATTCGAGCAGACATCCACATGGCAAGTGTCACCAGGGCCCACCAGTCTTCCAACAATGCAAGGATGATAATCACAGCGACTGTCAAGATCTGACCAATTGCATAGAGGAAGAGTGGAGTCTTACCAGGGCTTTCGATCAAGCATCTCAACTTCTCCTTTATGGTAGTCGGCGGCAAGTCCACGACTAGGTTGAGTAGATTACCCGTTTTTCCGACACTTTGCAAAAAGTGCACCGTGGCTTCATTCTCAATCCGAAAGACGTATCCTGACGTCAAAGCTAATTCTCCGCCACTAAGACTAGGGGCTGAGGACTGTCTGTGCATGCCGGGTGCCAGAAAAAGGATATCCGTGAGGGATGAAGTACCAGTGATAGCAGTCCATTTGGCGATACTCTGAAGATCCACCAGAGCTACTAAACCGACCGCGTCAAGCTGGAATTTGCCAGAAAGGTCGTATAGGGCTTGTTGGAAGTTCATTTTGTTAGGATCTGTGGCTGAAGAAGGAAAGGTGGGCTGAGAATGAGAGATAAATTCAAAAGGTCGTAACCAAGCCTATTTATGTGAAGTAAACTGAGAGTGACTCCGATGTCTCCATATACACAAATGGGCCAAATCTCCATACTGAAACCAGTTTCCTGTCTACGCCAGCCTCAAGCGAAAATAGAAGTCCAGCCACGGAAGAATTCTGTCCCTGGTCATGCATGGTCTTTCTTCGATGCAATATTGCTGCCAATATGTAACACATGGAACGACCAGATCCATCGAAGACTTTGATTTCAATGTTATTTGCCTGGCTGGCCAACTCAACATTGTCACCAATCTGACCGACGAAATCATCCTTCACTTGGACCTCTCCGACATGGATGGTGCGTCGCTGGAGTTCCATGTGGAGGATACGCTTCAGAACATCATCTTCGCCGTCTATAACCTCCCTCAAGAGTTGTAAGCTGCCGGAACTCATAGCCTGGATCTCCTTCCTACACAGCTGTCCCTGTTCATCGGCTGTGGAGGGAAACAACTCCACCAAGTTATTGACCAAATCGGAAATGTTCTCAACTAAATTCTCATAGTTTCCTCGCTTGTAAAGAGCCCAAGCAACTCGGTCTCTCTTCCGTGGCTTCAAACGCCCATCGATGATATCTCGCATGGTGAGGTGGAGACCGTTCAGCGAATCGCTCGCTTTCGCAAGTTCGATATCTGTGTCGAGGAGCAACAATCACTCATGTCATGTAAAATCATAGATACCCGCCCCTTGAACTGCCCAAGGATTGCGACGTTACGCATTACCGGAGATAAAGCATGTCGAGGATGTCATGACGGGCAAAGAAAGACCGGTTCCATTTTCCAAAGACATCTATACCGGGAAACGGTTAGTCGGGTGCACAACAAATCACCCAGTAAAACTTACACATGGGAATACTCAACAGGCAGATGCCCATTTGGATGCTACCGATGACAATCATGGTATGCTTGATGCCTCCGTGGGCAAACCATTTGTAGGCAAAAAAGGTCAGGACAAAGCTAAACATGTTTTTGAAAACCAACATGCAGGTAAATGCCTCAATGGCCATCTCGCCTAGTAATGTCAGCAATCATTTCCACGCAAGGCCTAGGAGTCCACATACGATGGGCATCGACGATATAGAGTGAAGCAGCAACGGCTCCCATAACCATGCCGACGATCAAGAATGCAAAGAAGACGTCTGGCAGCAGCCAGCCATAATGCATCACATTATTAGCAGTCCACCCGAACCCATACAGTCCGATACCACAGAAAATGAGCTGGGGAATCACTAAGAGGATCCGGAACTCAGGCTCGTATTTACCGTGGTTGAGCCGGATCATCAGCTTGTTGATGGAATCAGAAAGCAGGCCAGACAAAATGAGGCCCACAACGGAGCCGATAAAGGCACCCGTGTAAAGATATCCGGTTTTGTCTTCCTCGAACCACATTGGAGGTCCGAGAAACACAATTGCTAGAACCACACCAACGAAGACCGCCCATCCGATAACAACGCCTTGGATCAGACAAGCCTATACTTTAATCAGTGTATGTGAAACTAAGCGAAGTGGGTTACTTACCCAGAAGATGCCCGGATGGAAGAATAACGGGAATGGACGAAGGAGCAGCTTGAAGAAGCTCTCATCTGTTTTTCGTCCATTGAACAGCCTGAGCGATTGGGCGAAGGAATCTTTCTCGGGGACTGTTATCGCGGCTTCCGTCTTCGAACTTCCATTTATACCGTTGGAGCTTGGTCTAAACTCCTTGGTATCATCACTGGAAGCCCCACTGAGTGAAACATGGGACTCCATGGACTCGCCGTGCCCACCGCTTCGCTTGAAGTCGGTGTTCAAGTAATCTGAGCGTCGGAAAGCAGTTTCAGGCACGAAAAAGAACATCAATGGTAGTGAAGCACCAAGAAAAATTGCCACAAAGTAGAAAGACCACTGCCATCCCATAGACTTGGTGATCTTGCCTACCACAACGGGTGTCAGAAAGGCTGCACCAAAGAGTGCGACATTGGATACAGCCATTCGCTTTCCTCGTTCCTTTATTATACCGATCAGTCTCCTCGTGTGTCAAATCTACAGGAAAAGAAGGCCCAACTCACATGAACGAAATAAAGGTCTCCAACACAGGCATTTACCAACGCCTCAAACGGCGCCAATGCAACACCCTGGAATATCCTTGCCCATATGAGACTATTCTTGTTCTTGCCACTAACCCCAGCCCAGATGCAGCTGACAATCATCAAGACATGCCCGATCAGAAACAGATGACGTTTACCCCAGACTCGAGCCGTTGGCACAATGAGAATGCCCGCCACGCCGACACCACATAGGTGATATCCAGTCAACAGGGCGGCTGCTGTAAACGTGATTTCCTCGTAATCTGCGATGGTGACTGTATTTGCGGCTAGGATAGAGCTTAGGGTTGTGCAGAGGATCGTTACGAAGGAGAGGATGGCAAGAATCGTATCGCGTCGCCATAATGGCCAGTTCTAACAGAACCGTTCGGGTCAGGACTTTTGTCGTGGAAACAAATCTTAGGGTGCGGTGCTCTCTGGGACATACCAATGGGTCGTTTGGATCAGCGCTCGGTTGCGGTACGAGAATAATCGGTTGATTGCCCGACCAGTCGCATTTGAGGCCTGAGGCGCCTGGAGTCTGGTCGCTCACATCACTGTTTTGTTCGTAGATATCAGAGGTACCTGGAGTTTTGAAGTTGTGATGAGCCACGCGGATTCGCTTGCGACTAGGCAGGTAAAGGCATGGAATCTTACCTGGGACATGCGCGAGCTTCGTATCTTCCAGTACTCCAAGACCCATGATTGTAGGAAGCTAACGAGGCGGGGCTTGTAGATAATGCAGCGGTTTAATAGAAAATAGAACAAAGTCAGCAGCGCTACGGAGTAATTCTCGACCCTCCAAAGAAGGAAGCTACGTGAAAAAGCTTCCCAGGGCCAATGGGGATAAATAGCAGATATAAATAAATACGAGTTCAACTTTAGGACTATATTATAGGACTAAATATAAGGACTAACCTTGGAAAAGATAAGCAGCTCGGTCGATATGTACGTAAGGCCCGAGTGTGGGCGTAATTTTGAATGTGATTTGAGGTAAATTTCAAGTCTATTGTACAATATACGACATTCAAAGTTCCATCTAAGACCGCGTTTAAGCCGACTAAAGATCCTTTATAAGTTAATATACAGGACCGTACCTACGGAGTACATACGAGTTGCCCAGGTAAGCCTGGATCGGCGCTTCCAAGCTTAGACCGAGGCATCACATTCAGGCTCGAGCGTCCAATATTAGGCCGAGGTGCAGGTGGATCTTTTCAAAAATCAAACAGCTTGAAATCAGTGGTTTTGCTATAGAGAAGTTCGTGTTGAGATCAGGGACCGGTCCACCGAGGGGGCGGAAAAAGCCACTAGTGCTGACTGGGGGGCCTTAAATTTCCCATTCGAACCTTGTGATTGGTATATTGCTGAGGTGTACAACCCGAATGGTCGTCATAAAGTAGAAAATAGAGTGTGGCAGTGAATTCTGTAGGAAACAAGGCGATGGGAGAGGTCTATACTTGGAATATCGTTGGGAAATAAATGCCACAGCCCTAAACAAAAACCTCCACAGCTCCATCTAAGCCTCCAGGTAATTTTAGGAAATACCAATACATGGCAGTCTCAAACCACATACATTTGAGATGTGCATATCGATTGAATCTACAGCAATTTCCCATCGTCCAGGTCCTAGGAGCATAGCCAAGCTTTTAAACACGGACTTTGCCTTTCACAATATGCGTCGATACTGAAGAAGAGAAGGACTTGAGGTCCACTGGGCATTCTTGTCAACATGTGACCGTTGATAATCATGTGATATGTCATGTGATGACCAGCGTCACCAACGGCTCCAGAGCTAGACTCCAAGTTGTGAGGCGCATTATTTCCACAGCAGCGGTTACGACGTGATCGCGTTCCATATTGAAGTGACATCCTCGTCCTTGAAGAGCTATACCCCGCGTCATTGTCAAATCCCAAACACCGGCCCCCACCTAAGACTACTGCAGCGAGCGCGCGAAGCACAAAGCATTTACGCAAAACCGCAGGTCCAATACACCTATCCAGCACAGTTTTAATTATGTCGTCGGTCTCCCCTTCAAAGGAACACGATCTTGACCCAGAGGCGCAATCGGGAGAAGAGCAAGACCACATGGACAAAGATCACCACGACGCGCAGGGACACCAAGGCGAGTTTGAGGTGAAGGAGCAAGATCGGTGGCTTCCGATTGCCAATGTGGCTCGTATCATGAAGCTTGCGCTTCCTGACAACGCGAAAATCGCAAAAGAAGCCAAGGAATGCATGCAGGAATGCGTGAGCGAGTACATCTCATTTATCACAAGTGAAGCCTCGGAGAAATGCCAGCAGGAGAAGCGCAAAACAGTCAACGGCGAAGACATCCTATTCGCCATGACTTCGCTTGGCTTCGAGAATTACGCTGAAGCACTCAAGATCTACCTATCCAAGTACCGTGAAACCCAGTCTGCGCGCGGCGACAATCAGAGACCCCCAAGCGCTGGCTATGGAGCTGGAGGACCTGTCGGTGGCCCCGCCGGAGGTGGACCTGGACTAGCTCGTCCGACGGGCTTCCCCAATCCTGAAGGCACAAATCCTATGTCGAACCTCAGCCTTGACCCGTCCGAGCAAGACGCCTCTGCCTACGGCTATCCGCCCATAGTCGGCCAGCCTCACAACGGCGCAGGCGGCGAGTCATACTAGTGGATGATGTGAAGGGGTCGGCTGACGGACGCTGCGCCTAGTTTCAATATTGGCTACATGTCCTGGAGATTACCGACGATGTTGATTTCAACGGAGGTCTGAGATGTTTCAGCTAGGGGTCTCGGACCTCAGCAATGTGATGAGAATGGCGGAGTGTTGAGTTTGCATACCCGTGGACACCAGCCTAAGATAACTTGAAGAAATACTGTAATTGATGCCTAACTCAAACTTGAAGATTTGTACGAACTTACCTAAATACCTCCGTAATATGAATAATACCTTTGAAGATGTTAATAAAATAGTCCTCATTGCTAGGAAGATCCACTTCCGATGTAAAATATCAGGAGTTCTGATACTATTTAACATCATCTCCATACCGGCCGAACCGCACGTGAAAGAGTCTGGAGTTTTTGCGGGGAAAAAAGGTACCGTTCATCTGCGTATCGGCGTATTTTTGACCTATCTATTGGTTTATTACCACGACCTGGCCACCTGGAGAATAAAACCTCTCACATTTCCTCCCCCAATAACTCACTTTCATCAGCCTCATATGTATCTGCAAAGATGAAATTCACCATCACTTTTGCCCTGGCAGCTCTACTGAGCACTGCCGCTGCTCAAGGCCTGGGCGATCTGCCCGACTGCTCGGTATGTGTTTACAGTCAAACATACAACTATGCCAAATGTACCGCCTGCTAAAGAAGCCATTGCATAGAAAACCTGTGCTACAGGTTCAATCCCCCAGAGCTGCGGCATTGATTTCAAGTGCATCTGCGAGTCCAAGTCCTTCCTGGACGATGTCGCCTGCTGCATCGCCGATAAATGCTCCAAGGCTGACCAAGACAGTATGTTCTCTTCCTTTCCCTCCATGCCCAATTGAGTACACAAGTGCGGGATTATTCCAAAATGACTACGCACAATGGATGGCGGAACATGTACATTGGGCTGATATGTTACGCTTCACCACAGCAACCATCAAGGTCGCCAAGTCAATCTGTGCCCGCGGAGGTGTGACCGACCTGCCCGCCGAGGTGGTCTGCTCGAGCAGTAAATCCAGTACCAGTACCAGTACCAGCTCCAGCTCCAGCTCCAGCTCCAGCTCCAGCTCCAGCTCCAGCTCCAGCTTGACCGAGACTGGAACCAAGTCTAGCACTGAGACCTCGAGTGCGACGAAGACTTCGGATTCGACTACTGCGACCAGTACCAACGCTTCTACTGCTTCCTCGAACAGTGCCTCGTCCGTCTCTGCTGCGGCGACTAGCACTGGTGTCGCTGCTCTTGCCCACAAGGATTCTTCGCTCGTGGCCGCTGCTGGTGCTGCGGCGGCGTTCGCCATTCTGATCTAGCATGAGGCGTGCTAGTGATTTCAGGGGCTGGTACGTTTGGCGGCATTGAAATATCGTGATGAGGATGGAATGAATGGAAACACGAAAATGGCTTGGGATGCACCTGTGTCTTATTTTATCCATGATATAATTTTAATTGACCGGGTACACGGTGTGTCTAAATGCCATCGCTTTTCAATGGCGGGGGGATATTTCAAGTTAATAATACACTCATAGAAAGTATTACCGAGGAACCTGTGGAAGTGCTCAATTCTCGCGGGTATCCTCCAGCAGCTTGGTCAGGCGTTCCTGGCGCTCCTCGCGGAGAGTAGCGAAAGTCTGTAGAGTAGCACATTAGCATGAAAAACAGCCAACAGGGTCAATCCTGCCCGATTGATATATTCCCACTTACCCAGAACCAGAACATCATTTCGAAGAAAGCAAAGGTGAAGACCACCCTGTTCTTCAGGCGATCCAGACCTCCAACAGCCGCTGCGCTTGTGTAAGACGAGGCCAGGTGGTCACCTCTGCCTTGATAGATAAAGAACGCAATTCCGGCATACACGGCAAAGCGACAAGCAGCAACGGCGACCCAGACGCTCCAGTAAATTGTCAAGGAATTAGTGATATATTCGGGCAAACGCTGTAGCACCTGCAGATCCTCGGCGGGGAGGTTGCCATTTCGCAGGGGCCGGATATAAGGGAGAGCTTCATCGAGAGCTTCGTGGAAGGGGATGTTGGACAGTATGACGACGTCGGTAAGGGCCTCGACGAAGATGAGGATGGCACAGAAGGTGAAAGGGGATTGTTGCGGGCTGGACAGGGATGGAAAGTCCTGTATCATGGGTGTTAGCAGTCAAAATCAACTCTAATAGGAAGTTCCATTGCCCATATGGTAGAAATGGACATGTGAATCGGGCTTGTTGATGTGGACATACAATCTTCAAGGCCTCTCCTATCATAAACACCAGATCACAGTCGGTGATCACCTCGGGGCTCTTGATCAGATAGCCGGCGATCACAATCAGAAACACGGCATGTGCCTGGAGAAGAAGCTTGGATGAAAGTAAAACCATGGTGGGCGAGTCACAATGGCACAAGTTTGTGGACAAGAGGAAGTTCCAAAAGTACAGATAGAAATAAATAAATGACTTGGAGTTGGTCCGAGTGTTGGCCGCAACACATGTGGGGAAAAAGCAGCTCCGGTCGAGATATCCCCCACCAACACAACAACTGCGATGATTGGATCTGATTTACGACTTGATGCCTGCTGATTATTGAACTGCGTGGATTACTAGTGGAACATCGCCCAGTTCCTATCATACTACATAGTGGTCCAACCCCCATCCTCTACAATGACCGACCCAAACCCAACCTTCAACACAGAGCGCCATGTCAAATACTACCTCCGATGCTTGAAGACCTTCCTCCCGTCCGCCTACACTTCCAATGACTCTAATCGTATGCTCCTTGCCTACCTGACCCTCTCGGGATTGGATGTGCTCGGCGTTCTCCAAAGCAAAACCACACCGGAGGAAAGACAAGGGTACATCAACTGGCTTTACCACTGCCAGGTGCCTTCGGGCGGATTCCGTGGCTTCCCAGGTACAGATTTTGGGCCAGGGAAGCGAAATAAGGATAATGAAGCCTGGGATCCAGCGAATGTTCCCGCGACATTCTTTGCGCTAGTCAACTTGCTCATCCTCGGCGATGACCTGTCGCGTGTCAAGCGACGGGAGTGTCTTGAGTGGCTTCCTAAAGTCCAACGCGCCGATGGGAGTTTTGGTGAGCTTGTTGGTCCTGAGGGATGTGTAGGGGGACCTCGTGATTTACGATACTGCTGTTGTGCTGCCGGTATACGATATGTTCTGCGCGGGCGGAGTGAGACGGGGCTTGACGGTGTACCGGATATCGATGTCCCAGGTTTTGTTTCTTTTATACAGGCATGCCAGGTATGTGGAGTCCTTGAGGTTTTTTCTGCGATTGGGACACTGACACAGTATGGCGAAACAGACGTACGACGGCGGCATGGCTGAGTCTCCTTTCTGTGAATCGCATAGTTTGTGTCTCCCTTTCCACCACCTGGATCATCTAACAACCGACAGGTGGACACACGTATTGCGCGGTCGGGTCTCTGGACTTCTTGCGCCGGACCTCAAATGATCTAGAATCAGTGCCCCTTCTATTGGCAGGCTCCAATCAATTCGAGGGTTTGGTTACATGGCTGGCTTCAAGGCAAACCGCCCAGCTGGAGGAACCCGAGGAAGACGAAGATTATGAACAGCTTGAGGTGACAGAGACGGGATCTATCGATGATAGAGTCCGCAGGTTACCCAATATTGAACCCCTTGGGGCCGACACAATACCATGCGCCGGGTTCAATGGCCGGTGCAATAAATATGCAGATACATGCTATTCATTCTGGAACGGAGCGACACTGATGGTACGTGGCCCTCTAGCTAGTAGTGAGTGTCTACTAACGCGAATATCAGATGCTGGACCGGTATTCAGTGGTCGATAGAGATCGCAATCGTCGATACTTGCTCGAAAAGACCCAACATCTTATCGGTGGATTTGGAAAGGGGCCCGGGGATCCTCCTGGTAAGGCGATAGTATTCTGATATCGAGACTGCGTTGCTGACCAAACCTATAGACCTTCTTCACTCATACTTTGGCATGGTGTCCCTGGCTTTCCAGGGTGAGGTGGGACTCAGCGCCGTCGATCCCACGATGGGTTCCAGTGAACGCACGGTCCGACATCTTGAATCGCTGCCTTGGTGGCAATCATGAAGTATAACATGCCTGTAATATGACGATGGTTCAGCCATTCCACCAATTGGCTCATGTCAGCACACATCAGCCAATAGGTGTCGACTAAATTAATTGGGCGTCGGTGTACATCGTACGTTGTACATGTACCGTCCACAAGTAAGGGTTGAATCTTAGGCCGTAAGGCAGTGACAACATATTCTCCTACCTACAACGCAAGATGATGGCGATCGTGATCAGTTTGGTGCTTCACCATGGAGGGGATTCTAGCCAATTAAGTCACATACCTCTGAAGCAGGTAATTTGCACAGCGTCAGCGATTCCTAAATAGGAACGGAGTCTACGGAGTAATGTATATTGTATCTGGTATAACTATTGCACATAAAGATAATAATAGCAGACTCCAAGGAAAAAAAAGGAGAACCAAGTGCCGAGTTCTCCACACGGTCCACGTTCCCGTTGACGTCTTGGAATCTTCCAAGGCCTTTGTATGCAATTTCCCTTATCCTTTCATCATTTGCGGTGTTACTCTATTTCTCCGGCCATCTTTCCGAGCCCCCAGCTACCCCTTTCTAAAACTTCTCGACCTCCACTCCGCTCATACCGTTTATCCGCGCATCTCGTGTCCCGTTGAATGGCCCCGGCACAACTATTTCCAGTCAACCCCTTGACGCGCAGAGACTCTCTTGACGACATTGGCAATCATAACATATGCCGCCCCGAACAAGAGCGGGGGTTCAAAGCCAGAAACAAAAGGAGAAGGTGCGTCATCAGGGATGCGACATAGGGAGCTCCACCGGGTTTCCTTTGTTCGAGCCTTGCGCAGAGTCCGTGGAAATATGGCTAACTCGGAATTCTCGACAGCTTGCCAACTCCTATAATGAGCTCCTTGAGTAAGCGATCTTGCTTCCGGTCTGGATGGTCAGTTGCGCTAACGTGGTGCTTCTCTACAGGGAGTTCTCCTCCAAGGATCTTCGGACTGTAGGAAATTATACATTGGGGCGGCTAATTGGGAAAGGTTCCTTCGGCAAGGTCTATCTCGCCACGCACAAGCTCACCAATGGCTCCAAGGTAGGTCATATCATACAAACAAAGTTGTGGGGGCAAGGCTGATCAAGTTCGCAGGTGGTACTCAAATCGTCCAGCAAGGAGGACACCAATCTCGTGCGCGAGATCCATCACCACCGCCAATTCCTCCACCCTCATATCGCGCGCCTATACGAAGTGGTGGTAACTGAGAGCCTCGTTTGGCTTGTGCTAGAGTATTGTCCTGGTACGTCGGCTTGCGCATGGCAGACGCATAGAGAAACATACTGACAAAGCTCGGTTCTAGGCGACGAACTTTACAACTACCTCCTTCGACACGGCCCCCTACCGGTAGAGAAAGTGAAGCGCATATTTACACAATTGGTTGGAGCGGTCGCCTACGTCCACAGTAAATCCTGTGTGCATCGCGACTTGAAACTGGAAAACATATTACTGGATAAACAAGAGAACGTCAAGCTATGCGATTTTGGGTTCACGCGTGAATATGAAGGCAAGGCTAGCTATCTTCAGACATTCTGCGGGACGATATGCTATAGCGCGCCCGAGATGCTCAAGGGGGAGAAATACGCGGGCGAAAAAGTGGATGTATGGAGCTTGGGGATCATTCTATATGCGCTTTTGGCAGGCGAGCTGCCGTTTGACGACGATGACGACCAAATCACCAAAAAGCGGATTCTGTCGGACGAGCCGACCTTCAACGGAAAGTTCACGGACGATGCCAAGGCTCTGGTCAGTCTCCTATTGTCCAAACGGCCTTTGATTCGACCCAGTCTAGACGAGATCCTGGCTCATCCTTTCCTTGCGGAACATGCTCCTCAACAACTTGCAATCCTGAAAATCCCAAGACCATCGCCATTTACTACGCCACTGGAGAAGACTACCTTGCAGCGGATGAAAAGCGCTGGGGTCAATATTGACGAGGTCATTGAAAATGTCTTGGCTCAGCGGTGCGACCCACTGGCTGGCTGGTGGGCCCTGCTGATTGAAAAGGAACAAAGGAAGGAAAGAAAGAGAGAGCGCAAGCGTCGGGAGCGGGATGCTGAAGCAAAAAACATTCGTCGTCTGAGCGCTACCAGCAGTCGCCTAGAAAAGCGATCATCGGCTTTAATGGAGGTGGAGGAAGAAGGCATGGGGTTGCGCGATCGTGGGAGACGGGATAGAAGAAGCTTACCATCCCAGTTGGCAGTGCCAGATCTTCCTGCGCTTCCTGAACCGCTCCCTGTATTCCCAATTGAGGTGACCACGCCACCATTGCCGCTCGACAAAGATTCTATACGATCCCACAACTCGACGCGACGTCGCCCAGTGCCTCCGCCAAAAGACAGGCGGCGATCACGGCCCAGCATACTGCATGTTAGCGCATCACAGCCGGAGTTGACACAACATCATGGCATCTTCCGGCGTCGCACTAGTCGGCGTCACCAGTATCCGATACTCAGCCAACTAGCATCTCTCAAGCATTGGTTTGTAGAGTCGGCGAAAAGAGCGCGGTCTCCCCATGCCAAATCGACGAGCTCGCGGAAGTTTCTTTCTGAAAAGTTGAGCCCGGCTAAGAGTCAAGATACTGGGAAACCCCCTGCGCCTTTATCGTCCCCAGCAAGCGAGGTCGCAGGGGAGGATGTTGTTACACCCAGCCAGGCCAAACGAGCCTCCAACTCTAGCAGCCTCGCTCCTAGCAGTGCCTCATACCGCCAAAACCGCCACTCTTACCCTCACCAGCCGCGCCCATTGAACACCAGTCATAATAGTCATCGAAACTCTCTCTCGCCCTCACCTATCACCCCACGCGGGTCCTATCGGCGTTCATCGGCCGGACTCCGAGGTCGCAAATCCACATCCTCCTCGGTATCATCGATCCGCAGCATTCACCACGCTCGTGCTCACTCCAAGGCCTCTTCGATTTCCTCCAACAGCGTAGATACTATCTCAACACCCACTGCCAGAGCCTCCAGGTCGCCTCACTCATCTATCAAAGTACTGCCCACCACTCCAGGCGCCTCATCCCGCTTTCCGAGCAATATTCGGTTGGTAAGAGGGCCAGGCGGAGCACCTCGAGAGTTCGGTGACCACTTAGGTCAGATGCCGTCGTCGTTTAACGAGGCGGTACCAGGGCCACTACTCTACTCGCCCTCTTCAAGTCTGGTGTTTGCAAGGCGAAAGAGATCTCTCTTCAAGGGTCCTATGATCCATACCACCAACTTGATGGTGTCTGGTGGGATAGCCAACTCCTCTATGCCGGGTCAGCCAGTGGATACCAGCGGGCCTGACCTCGCACCAGGGCGGCCTGCTGCACGCAAGAGCCAAATTATCGAGGAAGAGGAAGATGTCGAAGGAATTGAGGAAGAAATTGAAGAAGTCGATGAGTTCGAAGAACCTACTACACCAGGAGGTTTCTTTACCCCCGATGAGCACCCAGCCGAGACCGAATCTCCCTCAAGCGGCAGAACGCCATTTGATCCTATCCTAAACCTTGATACCAGTCCCCTTCGGCCTCCTCGCTCCTCCTCTTTGCGC